TCAATGTGGTGATATGATGTATTCAGCACAGTGTAGAGAATTCAACTGGACGCAGGTGGTCTCTGTTGACCCCTCGGGTCAGTGCTGAAACAGGTTGTTTTTTTTGTGGCATTCTACAACCGGCCTCCACTGAAAAGAAGCCCTTATTGAAAGTTTATTCCACTTGTGCGGCTCCCCTGGCTCTCTTTGTGCAGCCTTTTTTTTAAATGTGAAAACATGGCAGAAATATTACAAAGCTGGATGGATTTGAAAGGGGGGGGGGTGCAGCTGCCTTTGGAAAGGAAGTTTGAAAATAGTCTTGTTTTGTGGTTCTGCAGTTTATAATCCTCAAAAGGAGGGAAGGTAATTGATAACCGCTGGAGGTTGTCGTACCAGTGACAGCATGTGCCTCGCAATGTCCTCATGTGAGTGCTAATAAGCAGCAAGAAGGGGCCACGGAGATGAGCGGGAGGATAAGCGACCGAGTGGGTGCTTTTAGAGGCTCACGTGTGATTTATCAGCGTAATGGACGCGCTCGTGCATAAACAGAAGTCTTCAATTTCAGCCCTTTCTGCTCTGTTGCTCTCACAGAGCCATTGTTTGGCATCCTTATTACTGTGGTTTTATCTTTAAAACGAGGCCTGTAGCTCTCAAACCGCACACTGAGCTCACTTCAAGACTCACACACACACGCGCACACACTGTGGGCCCCTACAGGGCTGTTCTGAGAGATAGCGGGGACCCTCTACGCACACACCCTCCCCCCCCCCCACTGTCTGACCTTTAGAGAACACAAGTCACACATGTGTGGTGTTTTCCTGTAATCACCTGCACTTTACAGCGGTCGGTATTAATGCAGTGAGCAGCCTTCTTATGATTTGCCGTGTGTGTTTCCACACGTAACCTTTCACACTACTGTTTTTTATGTTGAAGCGTCGCGCTTGGCTTTACATGCTTCGCATCTCCTCTAGTGAGCACTTCTCATTTCGTCTGAAGTCTCTCTCTCTCTCTCTCACGCGGCGAGAAACCTCTTTCAATCCTTTCAACCGTGCAGGCGAAGCATTCGCTCCTCCTCTGAATCGCAACGTCTGGCGTTGGGGGAGGACACTCAGAGGTGGATTTTCTTTTCCCAAGGACATGCTGCTCGCCTTCATAAACAAACAAAAATCATGTCAATAAAACGCTTTCTTTTGTTTCTGTTCTCTGAATATCTGCAAGAAGATCTCGTACTTCAGCGCGAGCTTGTTTCACAAGTCATGAGGAACAGACCCATGTGACCTGCGTGGCCCTTTTCCACCTGAGATCAGGGTTTGTCGCGTGGAAGGATAATGTCCTTCCACACTCACGTGAAACTCAACCCCCGAGACTTAAAGTTGCAGTGAAAATACGGAAAGGCCAGCGGGAGAATAGGGGGGGAAAAAAGCTTATTGCGCAAGACGCAACATGCTTGTTGCAGCATGTTTTTGTCTGACGGCGGCAGTTATGCGTCCTTGGCGCCCTGTTGTTTAGTAGTTGCAGCGTGCAGTAACCTTAACATCAGGGAGCTGCCATCTCTCTCCTTACTACCAGCACCAGAACGCCATGCATGATGACCTTAAGTCGTGGGCTCTCTATAATTGTGAAAGAACATGTGTCGAGCGCTGGTGTCGCGTGATGGGCGAACTGGGAGCGACTCGGAGGCCTTCGGAGACCACGTTCTCTGACTTGTAGCCTCCAGGGGCAGCACACTATTATAAAGACATCCATAATTCATGTGCAGCTCCGTGATGTCAGAAGGCATAGATGTGTGTGCTGTGATAATGTTCATGTTAATCATTAACACACCACGCAGGGGGGGCTGCTACCTAATTACATGCCCCCCCATATGTATTTAGACAAGTTCGCGGATTAAGAACTTCATTTTGAGCGTCTAATGGTTCAAATTGAAGCAACTAAAATCCATTCCTCATGTAATGGGGGGGGTGGTACATTTAAAAAACATGAGTGACTCACCCCTTCATGGCTCTTGTAATGGATTCATTAAACTGCTTACTGCTTTATTCCTGCCGACTCCATCGCCTCCCGCCTTTGTGCGCAAAAGATCAGACAGTGGGCCGATGGATGGATTCTCCTCTGTGTACCTTTGTTATACGTCAGAGAGCACAGAGACGGGGGGGGGGGGGCGTTTGTTCCTGCCGTTGGTCACAAAAAGGTGGATGGTCCTGTGTGTGCTTGCAGGAGCAAACAAGGAGTCAATGAAGGTCCATTGGCTTGCGGGCGGCATCGGCTTCCCTCCCTTCGTTACCTTCATCGGGGCCCCCGCGGCTATACGGGCCGGATCGATGGGGCAAATGGAGGGTTTGATAGGACTCGTCCTCGCCGGCCGCTGATCACTGGCTGTTTCTAATGTTTCAGCGGAAGAACTCCCCCCCCCCGGGGTTCACGCTTAGACTTTAAGCTTCAGGCCTTAAACGCAGGCAGTTGCTAAATCGGCTTTGGATACTCAGACTGAATCCTGCAGGACATTCATTTTTCTTTTCTCATTCATAAGGGCTGACTCTCTCTTCGGATACTGTGTTGTGTTTTTTGAATAATTTAATCTAATACGGTGTGTGTGACAAATATCTAAAATAGAGTTCAAAAGATGAATCAATTAGTTAACACACAGACACAAATAACGAGGCAATTTCTCACCCAGAAATCACAGAGCAAAAAACCCTGAATTGGTGGCTTGATGGTCAAAATCCCCCAAAAAGTATTTGTTCCACATTGTCACAAACTGCATGTGAGTTGTGCCCGACACCCAGAAAAGCACAAAGAAAATCCCTCATTTTCCAATTGTCTAAGGCAATAAGAGTTTCAACTCACTAAACCTTCAGGTTCTGCAATATCCTGCTCCAAACATCTACTTCTGACTCTGGAGAGGTCGAGCAATGATGGAGGAAGCCGTTTTTCTTTGTTGACTTTTTCGCAGGACATTTCCACGTCCGAGACGTTTGCAGAATTCGTCAGTATTTCCCCTGAAAGACCGAAGACGTGGTCTCCGTTGGTGACGGTGAAGGATAACGTGGCCTGTGGGGGAATTAAGCTTAAATAAAAACACCCGTTGCTTCAATCAAATTCTGCCGGTATGAGTCATGAGAATAAGAGGCTAATGCTGGAAAGGGGAAAAAGAAACATCTTCCGCTCTCGCTTCCAAAGGCGTGTGTGTCACTTTAAGGGCGGTTATTCAAAAAAAGCACGAGCACGTGTCCTGCAGGTCGGCATTCAAAGCATCGCCGCCGCGCTCTGGAAGGAGGGTCTTAATTCATCGACCTCCAGGGAAGGAGCCCCCGGTCGGTTGGTGGGAATCCACCTTCGATTCCACTACTTTCCTTTTTCTTTAAGCCACTCAAAGTCATTGACCTCGCAAGAGACTTTCTCTGTGACCAACCGGGGAAAGGCTTTTCTTATCTTTTGAAAGGCCACAGTGCCTTTCTCTTGGAAATGATCTTTATCTAAGCGCTTTCATTGGGTTTTCAACACCTTTTGTGCGCTTCTCACAGTCGAGATTCACTGATTTATTTTCTTCTTCCCCTCCCACCCCCCTTTTGGGCTTACAGACAAGAAATGTTTTGAGTCCCTGAAAAAGTTGACACAACAAACTCTGAGATGGAGAAGTATTTAATCCAAACAGGCTTTGCCCGCACGCTATAATATCAGCTATAAAATCAATCAAGTGAAGGTTTTAGACGACTGCTGCTCTTAAGAAGCGCTGCGAGGCTCTAAATCCTTGGTAGAAAGCACGCATTCAATAATTAAAATCTTGATTTAAATTCAGGAGACCATCACCGTCCTATAAACAGACTGAATGTGTGTGAAGACTGAAAAGTTGGGGATTGCAAGTTCGTTGCACGATGGGACTTGCAAGAAGAGGCTCAGGACCAGCTGAAGATGACAAACGGATATTGTTATTTCCCTCCTAGGATCAAACTGTCTACAGGAATCTAAGCATTTCAGCGTTGTTAATTGCTTCAGTCTCATGGTGTCTCTCCTCTCTGGCAGTGCTCGCTGCGAGAGCATTTCTCTCCCTCTAAAAAAACGGGGGAAAGTCCAATTGAGCAGGTTTTCTGCAACAATTCCATCACAGAGCATTAGGCCGGTGACAGTGACAGTGACAGCTTTCTGCTGGCTCTGATTATATGAAGGCTGTTGGATTTTAAGACCTTAAAACCAACTTAAAACGTGTCAGCGGCTCCTCACGAACAAAGAGACGGATGACTAACCACGTTTGTGTGTGACACATCTATAATCCCAGACATCTAGCTTTTTTTATCTCGCTTTCAGGCGGCAGGTGTAATCTTTTCTTGAACTACTGTAGGATTCTTTAAGCCTGTTTGAACACCTAAAACTCAAGTCTCTTCAAGTGCAGCTAAAAGGGTATCAATGATAATCAAGTAATTGCCTGTTTAGCTGAGTGACTATCTGTCCAGATATTGAAATACCAACTATACAGGTATTAAGTATTGAGCCAACCAAAAGTCAACTTCGCGCTGAACAGTTTGGGCCAAACAATGAGCTGAAACCGGATTACTCGAGTCAAAGGATTTATCCGGAAAACGACACGGAAAAGTTCATCAGAACCTTCAAATGAACTGTCAAAAACATCAGCAATAAACGAACCATCCATGTGGAATCAGAGCAAACGCTTCTTTAGGAGACACGTTTCCACATTGCAGCCTCAATCTTCTGCAGATGTTTAGTTTTAATGAATCTCATGCATCAGACTTCTATCCACGCTTGACAAGGTCGGCGCGCAGAATGACGGGCAGCCGCGACTGACAATCAAAATGTTGACATTGGAATCCAGCACAGTGGAAATGACACCAGATGAGAGCTGGAAATTCCCCCCGGGGGGGGGGCGAGCGACTGCTGTGTCCCACGAGACGAGGGACCGTTTCACCAAACGGCTGAACAGGGTCACGTCACGCGCACTTTAAAGATTCCCAAAGAGTTCTCCAACAGAGTGCGTTTAATCGACGTTGACGTCGTCTCTCTTTCAGAATGGACGGACAGAAGCAGTGGACGCGGGCGGCCGTGATGGCGCTGCTGGTGCTGGCCGTGATGGCGGCTGAAGGCGGCAAAGCGGAGAAACAAGGTTTCTTTTCTCTACGATGTTTGAAAATGCTAAAACGATCCTCAGGGGGGCGAAGTACAGTAATTGGTGTCCCTCGGGAATTTAACAACAACTTATAGCGAACAACTAAGTAAATAAGTCAGATAATTCCCACTTGAGTAAAAAACAACATTTGGCTAATTTAAATTCCATGAAAAGTTCATTTGAGTTTACATTTGCATGAGCTGCGAATCCACAACATTTGCCTGAAGATATTAAGAAGTCAAGAGGAAGTAAATGTTTTTCACTCAAATGAATTTCCACCTGCTGAAAGTAAAAAATAAAATAAAATTAGAGCGGAATGACAACGCGAATGTAAAAAAGTGGCGTTGCTTTGATCCCTCAGGAAAGAAGGAGCGGCGGTCCGACTGCGGCGACTGGCAGTGGAGTGTGTGTGTGGCCAACGAGGGCGACTGTGGGCTCGGCACGAGGGAGGGGACGCGCACCGGCGCCGACTGCAAGCAGACCATCAAGACCCAACGCTGCAAGATCCCCTGCAACTGGAAGAAGAAGTTTGGAGGTCAGGGAGGTCGGGGACTGAACGTTAGGCGGGAACGCGCACATCGTATGTGTGTCCGTCTGCTTTGTCTTTGTCCATGAAGCCTGAAATGTCCAGCAGGGACGAAGCCCGGGGGACTTGTCTTCCCCCCCCCCCGGGAGGCCTGTCAGGCGAGAGCTCGCAGCGCCGCTCTGAGCCTGTCGCTGAATGATGGAGACGCCGCGAGTTCCGCTAACTCGCCATGTAGATCACAAAAGCAGAACGTCTGATCACTACAATAAGTTAATATTACATATTTAGGAAAAATAATTCGAGCTATGTTTAATATCACAAGTTTTCATATCCATACATTTGACTTTTTGGACGATTGCGTCCTTCTTATTGAGTGCCACCATATATTTTGTCAAAGTAAATATAAAAAATATACCTGGGCAGATTTTGTATTTCCTGCGTGAGGATTTTTTTGCATCTATAAAGATAAATAACTCGAGGCATCAGAGTCTGGGTCTGTCTACATTTGAGCAAAGCCGTTAAAGATTCTACTTAGATGCAATTTGAAAATGCTCAGAGGCAGGGCAAGGTACTAACAGATCAATCATCCAGAGGAAGCTCCCCCTCTCCCCCTCTCTCCCTCTCTCCCCCTATCCCGCTCTCTCTCAGAGACAAATTATAGAGGCAAAGGTTTTTCTTAAAGTTGGACGCTCAGGAAGTCCCTGTGGGATTCTGTGCGACAATGGTCCTGTCACTCCCCGCCTCCCGTCTCCGTCCCTCCTCTCCTCACCCTTCTCTCCCCTCTCCCTTCCTCTGATGAGCACCCGGGGATCTCGGGCGAGGGGCTCGGCGCTTTCATGTGAGAGCGAGCTGACGAACGAGTGTCGCAGCCTCCGGGGAGCCCGACTAGAGTGGCAACAAAATAATGGACAGAGATGTGAGGGCCACGGACATATAGGACAAACACACACACATGTACACACATGTACGCACACGCACACACACACACACACAGACCTGCATCCTGTGGGTTTGCGTTTAGTCCAAGTGAAAGCACATTTATTAGAGGTGCTGATAAAAGCAGTTTCCCTCCTGTGCCGCCAAGCTGGTATCCGTTTATTATTTGCAGGATGTACAGCAGCCAGGCTGCTTTTCACTGCCTTCATCTGTTAGCGGTTTACATTTTGTAGGAAATACAGGATCAAAACTGCAAAGCGACATCTGCTGCTGTTAGGAAAGAACCGTAATAAGACTGTCTGGTGGTATAGTTCACTGGCTCCGGGACACTTTCTATTAATAGGAAGAGGAATACAGCCAAGTAAATTACATGCATTCATCAAAGGACCATTCAAAGAGGATGACGCACAGCTCCTGCAGCTCATTGGCTGATTGCAATTGACTGTTTCTTTGCATAAATGATGCTGCGTTGTGTCCAGTTCCAGCAGGTGGACGGCTCTCCTGCACCGTGCCCCCCCCCCCCCCCCCCCGCTCCGCCAAACAAAAGCACCTAATGAAGCGTCTGATTTGTCGTTGTGCGCCGCAGGGGAGTGCAAGTACGACTTCCAGGCTTGGGGGGAGTGCGACCCGGTGACAGGCAAGAAGAACAGGACGGGCGTGCTTAAGCGAGCGCTCATGGACGCCACCTGCGCCGCCACCGTCACAGCCACCAAGCCCTGTGGGAAAGTCCCCAAGACCAAGCTGCAAGGTAAACAGAGGCACACAGATAAAATGAGTAAGTCTCGCCGGAAACAGAGAAGAAAACCCTGCCAAGAAATATGGATTTTTCTTTTGACGCGCATTGGTGAAATTTCAGTTTATTGACAGAATCCACGGTCCGATTCGAATATCTGATGAAAGAAAACCCCAAGTATATCACAAATCTCTAAGAAGCCGTATCTGTTTGTTGTCTTTTTCGGTCATGAACTATTCAGTCGGGACCCGTTGGACCGTGTACACATTCTGGGAAGAGCAATTCAAGGACTTTGAAGTAATGCTGTGGTCTGCAGTTGTACAAAAGCTCTTTTTCGTCATCAATAACTTGATCTTTACAAGCATATTCTGTATATTCTCTCTGGCTCTGATGTGAAACAAAGAGCAGACTTCTGCAGAAGCCCAGGACGCGCAAACCTGTCACCTGACTCCCTCTAACGATCCGAGGCCACCTCAGGACGCCATCGCAGCACGAACACGGCGTTTACAGCGGCCCAAACGGAGCGTCACAAAAGCAGACTTGTTTATGGACTTTGTGACGTAAGCTTGAGGGATTTGTTTCAACGCGATGTTGAACGCGGCGGCCTTTTTGGACTAGTTTGAGAGCTTTGTTTTTTTTTGCATTGAGGGATCAGACGTCAGCAGGTCGGTTTTAGAAACTAATGGTCGGGATTTACGGGAGAAGAAGACACTTTCTTGCGCCGTCAAATCCTTGTAAACAGTTAGAGGGAATGTTAAATTGGTTGATTTGTTTAATTAATTATAGCTGAAGGGATGTTTACCACCGACGTGTTTCTGTTTATTCAGTTGAACTGCTTCCCGGTGACAACTTGTATATTTTCGTTTTAGATGTGAAATATCATAAATATATTTACATTATATGGCGTTAAATTAGCGTCAGTATGTGCGTCAAGGTGTATTCGAGAGTGTGCGTGTTCTCCTGGTGGATGTTTATCCAGTCTGCTGGCTGATTGCATCCTTGTTCAATCCCACGAGGCCTGACAAATTATTTCAGTCTCGGGCGGCGTGAAGGAAATCCACCCACTGAAGTGATAAGTTGAAGCAGTGACTGGCAGTGTTAAAGCAGGGGGTCGAATCACTTAACCCACTATTTAGCTTTAATTACATGCTTTTAAGCGTCCACGTGTCACGCCAAAGAAACAGAAGTCAGGGAGGTCCTACGATCAACAGGAAAATGGGCCGTTATCTGCGACGCACGGGCCGAGCTAATGGGAGAAAATGAAATAACCATGTGCAGCACACTGTATACATTACCATCTGCCTGGTGTGAAACGGGCGATAAGAAAGCCTTCGGTTCATTCCAAGTGAGGCGATGCCCTTTGTTAATTCTGTAAACACGGGTGTACCCGACCCGCCGCGGCCGCCCCTTTGTCCAAACAGGATTATAATGAGGGCAGAGGAGCTGCCAACGGTCATAAACGGCGCCCTTATCGCGCTCGGCAGACGACATGTGTGCACACAAAGGGTTGCGCAATTTGCTCAACCCTCGCCGCCGCTTCATCAAACGGGCCGCAGTCAGGTCGAAACCCCCCACATTACGACCGCCGAGCGGGCGTTTTTTGTAGTTTTACTACAGGATGTCTGCAGATGCCGTGTGGCCGGCTGTTAAACGTCTGTCTGTCGAGGTGTTGTGCGGAGCTCCATCCCGCTTGCAAAGGAGGAGGCGCCGTCTGCAGTTCTCCTTTGCTTTATAGCAAATAAAGATTACAGGATGCTGCTGTTAAAACGTACATGGGTTTAACTGAGGTCACTAACGACTCTGCAAACGCGGTCGAACCGACGCTCTACGTTCCCCTCCGGCGTCAGTTTATGGGTCAGTTTTTGCATTTGCACAACAGCACAATAAACTTAAATTTGAGCAATGTCTCTTGGGTGAACCCAATCATCAATCACCCATTTATTGCTCTTTACACCAAATATTGCAACTTTTACCACAATTGCTGTTATGTAGATGAAGTGATAGTTTAAAAAGTCGGGCCACCGACCAGGCTGCCATATTTGGCGAGTTGGGAGTGAGAACGTGTTGCTTTTGTAGTCCTTCCAAGAAAAGCAACAGCATTAGTCATTTGTTTAGGTTAAAGACCTCCAGCAGTCATGATCATTACTCTTGTCCATTGGGAGCAAAGGCCAATGACAAACAAAGTAGTTAGTGCTTTGGAATCTGGAGGACTGTTTTATTTCCCTCCATTTTCCACATTGATTTATTCTGTCCTGAGCTGTGGGGGAGTGAAGAAGGTTGCTCTCCAATATGTCAGTCTTCATCAATTATTTGCTTTACTGTTGCTATGTTGGTGTTGTGAACGGGATATAAAGAAGAAGAAGAAGAAAAAATAACCTCATGTCAAGTTGCTGTATTGAATTCAGTTGCTACGGTGATGCAAGACAAGACAAGAAGGTCCCTTTGAGTTGAAATCCCCTTTAAATGCCTCCATATTCCACTTATGGATTACTCTCCTGTTATATCATGCAGGAAAATTGATGTTGACCTTTAACCTTGTTAAAAAAGTTTGGGTTAGAAAGGCCCGCCGGTGACGACGGAGCGTCTGAGAGGCAGAGCGGGGGGGCGACAGCGGCCGAGACGAAGGGAAGCAGCCGGAGACAGAGACGCTCGCTCGTAAGCGGCGCGATTGCGTGATGCGTGAGGCGTGATTCTCCACGTCTGCCGGTCGGAAGATAAGCCCTGGGAAGCAAATGGGTTACTGGGTAATGGAAAATGGGGGCGCCGTGCACAATGAGAAGTGCGAAGGAAAGGGGGATTGTGTTTGGTTTTCTGTTGCTGGGGGTGGACGGGGGGGGGGGGGGGGGGGGGGCGGCGGGATCACGGAGCTTATAAAGAAAAACAAAACAATGTTTGGCTTTGACTGAGATGGAGAGAGGGGAGGCGATCCAACCCTCGGCCCGGCCAATTCCGCAGTTCTGAGCGGCCACCTTGGGTGGGGAGATATGGGGGTTTCACCCCCCCCCCCCCGAGACGGAGGCAGGAATCTGCCACTTGCAGATTCTGGAAGACACAATGTTGAGAGGCGCCTCGGGGGGGGGGGGGGGGGGGGGGGGCTCAGGTGAAACACGCACCCCGGGGTGCAAAAGGGAGAACAAAGGGTGACAGAAGCACTGTGAATGCATGTAGACACCTCGAGGTCAGCAGGGGCGTTTGGAAAGTGGAAGCCAGAGTTGATTCCAGATTAAACCACAACCGTTGCCACTAAAATGTGATCAAAAGCAATTTGCATTGTTGACATTAACTTGTAATATCTGTATTTTACGCCTTTTCAGGCTTTGTTTTCTGCACAAAACATAATGAATACAAAATTAAACTGAAAATTAAAAAAAGAATAAAAAGAGGGGTTTACACTTTATCTAAAAAGCTGCCATATGTGCCGAATCCAGAAGTCAGATTCTGCTCAGGGTGCATTTGATCCGGCAACGGCGTGATTGTGATTGGCTGTCGGAGGCGGAGAGGAGAGCGAGCGGCGCCGTGAGATGTGCAAATGCAGCACAACGTCCCACGTATGGAGAGAGATGAGTGAATCCTTTCTCCCGGGAGCAGAATGTGCTGACGGAAACCTCAGCGGGCCGAACGGAGAGAGAAAACATTCAAAACAAGTGAAAACAAGCAAACAAAGGTAGAGGAAGTGTGACAATCTTAATGCTCATGGAAGTTTGCAGCCGAGGTGACGAGAACAGATTCCGTACATTTCCTCCTCGTGCACATTCACAATGTTAACATTTTGAAAGCTCATATAAGCAATAACAAGGACACCATGTCGCTGTTCAGAACGACTTCCTGGCATTTGATTAAAGGATTTTTAGCCAATCCATTTCAAACAAATACAAGATTCCAGCCTTTTACTTCAATATATCATTTATGTTGGCATGTCGAAATGGCTTCCGTGAAAGGGTCATTTTGGTGGAAGGGAATCTTCTGAACTCACCACAATAAACTGATTCAATTTAAATCAGAGGTCAAAGTGAAAGGATTTGATGCGGCTCTTTTTCTTCTGTTCTTGCAGATGCAAAGAAGCAAAAGAAGGAAGGCAAGAAGAGGGACCGCACCCAAATGGGACTGATGGCGTTGCGCGCCCCAGAGAGGGAAGGAAGACGAGGGCCGGAACACGTCCACAGCCCCGTCGCTGAACGCTTCCTCTTTGTGTGTCCCGTAGGTCGACAGTAGCGCTTCCCCCAAACCAGTGAAAACGTGACTTTTAGTGACAAGATGTTATACTTTTTCTTCTTTCTGTGACCTGATCAGGAACAGCTTGTGTGTACTAGCCAGCGGTAGGAACAACGAACATAAAAGAGGATTGTTTACTAGTGTCATTTTTAGGATTATTTTCTTGCAGACAAATTGGAGAGGGTTTGTTTTAGTCTATAATATGGAAGTATTTTTTGGTTCATGCCTCAGCTTAAAGAAGCAGTTGTGTAAGTGAAGTCGTTTACTGCTTTACTTAATTACATTTTAAAGAAAGCATTTGATTGCATTGTCTCAAGTTAATGTTAACAATCCCCCTGTTACATTTCTTTTTGATATCTTTCTTTAATTTCCAGTAAAAATAAACCTAATGTGACGGGAGTGTGCATGATTAGTGCAAGTATGCAAATTACTGAAGTTTTTAGCGTGTTTTCCTCCTGCTGCTCTGTTGTACCTCAATTTAGACCCTCTGATTTCTTACTCTACAGCTCTTGGCTATAAAAAAATAAGCAGTCCTCCCTTTGGTGATTCCTAAGTTGAAGTTAACATTTCCTTTGTTTCCTGTTTCCAAAAATAAATTAATAAAAAGCAGAAAAAATATCTTTTTTTTTACCCCTGTGTCCTTAAATAAAACCAAATAAAACCAAAAGAATTATAACACATTTCATAAATCTTTATTTGAATTCCATTCTGAGAGAAAACGGCACAATGTAACCACGGAAAGCAGTTCTTCTTACAGTGTCAAAGGTGGCCGGCGATAATAACACTCAGATTCTTTGTCCAGAACAAATAATCAATCAAGAATGCACCAAAGAGGAAATCAATACCATTGTTACTGTACAGAAAGTATCATAGTGGGGAAGAGAAGGGAAGGGGGGAGAATAACTGAGGGATTCGGGGTCGGAGGAAACATTCAGAGAGTAGCTATTAAAGACGTGTGTAAATTACAAATGTACCGCATCCGAATTACATATACTTTATTATAATATAGATATATACAATGCAAACAACAGACTGTAAGAAAAATGTCCTATAGCAAGAGAAGCCACAAGCCACAGTGAGTGAATACGCAGTGAACATCTACATAGATAGAGGCAAATGAAAAACCAATACTCGTATGTACATCTAACACTTGCTGCAAGCTACTGATTTCACTTTTTCCTTTTTTTTTTTTTTGTTGCCCATTTTTTGTTTTAGATCCACGTGTCCGTGACCCTTGAAGCTTAGAAGGGGTCAAACAGCTCAAGCCCTCGACACGTTTGTTGCTCCACGAGAAGAGAAGTAAAGAAAAGGGATGATAAAATTGCAAAAGTTATAAAGTGTGTCGAGTGAGACTCAAGCCGGGCGTGAGGCCTCACACGTTTACAGGTGAAATCGAATTTCAGCCCTCGCCGCTGGGCCTGTGGAAACTAGTCTTAGCTCCTGTCCGGGTTTCCAACCGCACTCGCTGGCTGTAAAAGTCTCGAAATCACCTTCAATGATGCTCCGAAAGTTTGGATCCAGTCGCTCGTTTTTTCCCCAAAATGCACATATGTTCATTACTCTTACAATCTATTTGAAACACCCACACTATTAACATCTTTATAGTTATTACATTTTGAAACAAAAAGAAACTCACTGGCTGTAAGCTGCTAATATTTAAGTCTATATTACATTTGTACTTTGTACAGTGATTAAAGAAACGGCTTCAACAAATGTGCAATATAATGTATTTATGCGAGTTCCGGCAAAAGATGTGTTTTAAGTGAGTCTTTGGAAGCCTGTCGACTCGTTTCAAAGAGGAAGGAGTGATGACACGGATAGACAACCACACATTGTGCATCTACCCTGATGTGTGTCGTGATCTTATCCAAGCTGATGTCCTCAAGCGGAGAAAAAACAGAAAACACCGCACAGCAAGCCGCATGCACACACGCACACAAACACACACACAGGAAACACACACACACCGAAAATAAAATCAACCAAAATAGCCGGGATGTATAGAAATAAGTCACACTTGTGTCTGTATACTCTACGTTTTTTTTAAAGTTTTTTAAAGAAAATGAATTATTAAGATGATGGTTTTTGATTGTTCAGTCCAAACTTCCTTTGCCTCTGCAATCACACGGCTGATGAGATGCAAATGACACCGCTGGGAGCTCAGAGCTGAGACGCACGACATCCTCCCCCAGAAGAGCGAACACGCTCTTCGGTGTGCATCCCGCTGCGAGGCCATCGACAACTTTCCCCACAGACACGCTGAACACACAACATTGGGTTTTTAGGATAAAGGAGCAATTTGCTCATGTTTCTCTGGATAAGGCACTTGAAGTTGCTCCGTACAATCTGGCGATATATAATTTTCCTTCTCCCATTAAACTCCCCTTGCTCACTTCAGCGTGGCTGCGCAAGGTTATTCTCAGCGCCCCGAACGCCGAGCCAGAAAAAACCTTTCGATTTGAAGTCATGTGTCCTCCTCGGAAAGGAGGTTTAGCCCTTTGACATCAGCCGTGTGAAGAGGAGCCCAGCTGGCTCTGACGGCACATTATGACCCGTCGACCACAACAGAGACGGATGAACACCAGAAACGTCCCCCCCCCCACCCCCCCTGTTCCGTACGTGGTGAGCGGGAAGGTGGACACGTGGCGGGTTCTGTTTGCACAACACACAGAGAATGGGATGCAATGAAAAGGCGCGGGCGGGGGGGAGGGGGCCGGACGGTAAACAGCGGCGTATCGCGCCGTGTTTACGCCAGGCGGCGGATTTTTGTCTGGGACACTCGGATTCCTGCAGCGGGAACCTTTGGCTGACCTGCCGCCGACGGCTGTGGCTTCTCCAAACATGGTCCACGTGCAGCGCGGCCCTGCTCTGCTTTGGATTTTGTCCCCAACCCTTCCAACTATTCCTCCCACTCGACACCCCCCCACTCCACCCCCCACCTGCCTCGTAGCCGTGACTACGAAGGTCTATCTCCCTCACGTTGGCCACCAAACGACGCTGTCTTGTCCTGTCACGGGGGCGACATCCTCTCACACCTGATACGAGAACATATTCCCTCCCCCTCTCTCCCCCCTCGCTCCAGGAGGCGATAAACTGCCATCGCCTTCCATCAAACACCTGAGCAGCTGCTCAAACCGGGACCCCTGGACCACCGCTGGAGCCACTTAGTCTCCTGCTGGTTCCGCTCAAACGACAGCTTAGCAGAGATTAATCAGATGTTCTGGAAGGCTCTCTGCCCACCACGGAGACGCGTGACGGATGTCAGGCAGACGCGGCTCCACTTGTCACCCTGACGGATGGTTGGATGCCGGACTTGGATGGATGCCTCGGTTCCCGCTGAAACACCTTATCGGAGAGATAAACGCGGGCCGACAGCAGGGGGGCTGGAGAGTAGAGACCCGAAAAACAAGGTGATGGGCGCTCTTTAGATCCAGAGTCTGGTTTGTCCACACAAACACAACGACTGTTATTTTCAGGGGATTCTACACTCACGCAAACCCTTTTAAAATGGTATTACAAATCTGACAATAGATCCCGCTAAATGCTACACCCTGGCTCTTGAGTGTTATTTGGAGAAAAAAACACTTGCAGAATGACTTTAACGTGTAAAATGAGTGGATTTTGAATACAGGGTATTTTAGTTATTATGGTGTTGCTACATTGTGATTTTGCAACTATAATTTCAATATGGGAATTAAGGGTTTGAGCTGCATGCTGGAGATGCAGCATGAGAGTTTGGATACGGTTGCATCTCCAGCATGTATGTTTAACACAGCTTTTTGCTATAAAATATAAACGTTAGAACAGGCTAATGGGAATATATGTGATATTTACATTGCATTCATGAGCTATGTTACAGGATGTGGAGCACTAAGTGGGGCGCCTAACACGCGAGCACAAGCCGAGCGTGTAATGGGCCATCTTTAATCTCAAATGTAGGTGTTCCACATCGTGCCATAATCTGATCAGCCTCACGGTGAGTTCTCTGTCCCAGATTTCTGTTTTAGGCGACAGCCTCGCCGAGCCGTTCTTTGCAAAGCCCCCCCCCCCCCCCCCGCCGCCCCACCGGCCCCTGTGGCAACCTGCAGATGAGAAATGCTCCTGAATATTCATCACTGCGACTGGTGAGCACACAGTAATGCGACCAAGATTTGACTAATGGGTTGAAATGATGGATGACACGCGTGGATACACGGAACACGTCTAAAAGTAAATTTAGATTCTTTCTTAATTATATTAAGACAGGAGTATTTATTATTTCTGATCTCAAATTATAATGATTGAGACAGAATTAACGTGCCCCTGTTAAGATTCAGAATAAAAGATGGCGATGGTTTGAACAAACACGTAACGTTAAGACGTGAAAATAGCCCTTATTTGAGTCACAAGGTCGTGACTTGTGATCAGAAGTAAACTCCACACTTGGAGCAAACACACATTCGCGTTTATACCCTCACAAGCACACCCACATCCTACACACACACAAACAGATCTTCCCAATCCTCATCAGTACAGTGAGTACAGTACACACTGTGACATCAATCTACTAATCAGCGCAATCACACAACGTCTCTTACACACACACACACACACACACACAATGACTTCCTACAGACAGACCGTAATAAGCCACAGTTCTGAGCTCCAGCGCTTCACTCGCCGGGTAGGAACTTCCTACCAGGGAGAGGAAACATCTCAATAAACCGCCGTGAAATAAACATCGGACGTGGTGTAAGCGGCGTTTGATCGGCGGGCGAATCAAAGAGTGTGACTGAACAATCTTACGCTCCATTACTATCGAGTCATAACTCTCGCTGTTGTTCTCGCAGCTGTTTGCTTATTCTCCATGATGACGCATGACATGGTTGCAGTCCAAACGGGTCAAACGTGAGGGACCGTTTCCTGGCCGAGGGCAGTGATTTCCTCACGGTGAAGACAAAACGACATATTTCTGTTCCCTGCCAAAAGACCAAATATAGTCCCACACGTAAACCTTCTGAATGTGGGTTATTTTGCAAATAGAACAAATGAGATATAAAACCGCGTGTGAGTCTTAGAGCTGCTGCTACACTGATTTGCTTTGTAGACACAGGCGGATTAGCTTTATCCACCGGCTGCCAGTCTTTATGCTAAGCTAATGTAACTCTCTATCAAGATATTAAGAGTTTCCTTCACGGAGGATCCAGAATAGTAGTTTAGTGTATCGGAATATGTCTAAAAAGTCTATAAAAGAAAAATAATGTAATTGGGAATATTTCTTCATTGTTTCTAACGAACATTCCCTCCATTGGCTAGTCCAGAAATTGTCGCTATAGAGACACACTGCTTTTGATTTTTAAAAATATTAATTCAATGCTATGAGTAAAAAAAAGGGTACCAGCAGAAATGAGAATATACTTGAGCAAATAAAGGCATTCTAAACACCAGAAATGGTGGTAATTGAGAAAATTAGATTAGTGTAGAAGTTAACTTTAATATTTTGATACATATATCATGTCTCTAAGGGAACTTGCTGGTTGGAAGTGGCATGATGGGGGTCACCGACGGGCAGAAAGAAGACGAGCAGAGGGCGTGGACACGTACTCCGAGCCAGCGAGCACCCACATGTGCACATTAACACTGAGTATACACAGATATGTACAGTTATCTACACGTATCTCCGCCGAACTTCAAACAGATTCAAGTTTGGAAATTCAGTCAGCCCTATTTTCCCATTTGAAATCTTCCACTGCTCTTTATCTCTGCAAATCAGCTCGGCGTCCCTCCTAAGTGCTCCCCACTTACTTGAGCTCGGAGCTCAGCTTTCACCAAACCGCGCAATCTTTGCCGCTTTCGCACGACGCGTCTCAAAGCAACTGGTGTAAAGCAATTTGCGTGAAGTGCTACAACCGGTTATTGAGAGAGAAATCGGAAAAAAAACAAAAGGAATAAAATGATGGAAAGTAATTTCACATGTACCCTTGCAGTCTTGCTCACGGACCTCTTTCACAACACACAAAAACACACACACACACACAGACAGAAACGCACACGTCTCCCTCCTAAGTGGCCCATATTTATCTGGCTGACCTACTATTTTTATATTGGCAGAGGAGAAGATGCTTGAATGTCTTTTTGAAAGTGACGTTGCACAGAGCGTAGCAGGCCGGGTTGATGGTGCTGTTGATGTAGCACAGCCAGTATCCAATAGTCCACACTGGGTTGGGGATGCAGCTGGAGCAGAAGGTGTTAATAAGCACCATCACGTTATACGGAGTCCAAGTGGCAACAAAAGCTACCAGGATGGCCATAATGGTGCGGGTGACTTTTTTCTCCCGTGATGGTGGCGCTTTCTTCTTCTTGTTGGGAGCTTGCTTCGTCATCTTCACGATCTTCCGGGCCACGTGATTCTGCCGCTCGGAGGCCGGCACGATCTCGACGGTGGCGTTGGACGGCGTGTAGAAGTCGCCCTTGGGCGATTTGGTTTTGATCTTGATGCAGGTCAGCTTGGAGCCGCCCGCCTTGGCCCGTTGCCGCGGCAGCGGCTGGCGCGTCTCGGCGCCGGCGTCGGCGGTCGACGGCGCCGCCTCCTCGTCCCTCTGGTTGGATGCCGCCACGCTGCCAGACGTTGAGTCGTTGGAGCTCTCCTTCTCCCCCGCGGGGGCGCAGTTCTCCCTCGCCGCGTCGTCTCCTTCGGTCTCTCCCTCAGCGGTGGTCGAGGAAGGGCCCTTGCCGTTTTGCAGTTTTCCGTCCTGCTGGCTGGCTCCGTCGTCGGCGCTCTGGCTCGCCAAACGCGCCGCGTCTTCCCCCGGCACGTTGTTATTGTTGGGTTTCGGCGCGTTGTTCCCCCTCTGGCCGGGCGACAGGGGCTCCGGATTGGCCCCGGACGGCTTGCGGGTGTCCTTCTTCACGCGACTCTTGCTCGCTCTGGAGATCTGCCAGTAGAGCTGAATCATGATGATGACAGGCAGGTAAAAGGCGGCGATGGCGGTGCCAAAAGTGACAGCGGCGTTGGAGAAGAACTGGATGTAGCACTCTCTCTCAGGCACCGTCCGCCCACCAACGATGAACTGCCAGAAGAGAATGGCTGGCGCCCAGAGGATAAAAGACAGGACCCAGGCTGCTGCAATCATCATTCCCGCCATCTTCGTGGTCCTTTTGACTGGGTAGCTGAGGGGCTTGGTGACACAGAAATATCTGTCAAAGCTTATGATGAGAAGATTCATGACGGACGCATTGCTGACGACATAGTCCAGGGCTAACCACAAGTCACACACCACCGGGCCCAGGGGCCAGTACCCCATCACTATGTAGACCGTGTACAAGTTCATAGAGCACAGTCCGATAATCAGGTCAGCGCACGCGAGGCTGAACAGGAAATAGTTGTTGACCGTCTGTAAGTTCCTGTTGACTTTGATGGAAAGCATGACCAGGATATTTCCAATGACTGTAACCAGACTGAGGGAACCAGCCACCAACACGATGAACACCACCTCCACGGTCTTGTAGGGCCTTCCGTACTCTTCCACGGCTTCTGTGCCGTTGCCTTCGGAGGCATTCCAGTAGGTGAAATTGAATACGTCCATGGCATTTGGTCTTTTGTTGCCAGCTCCTACTCAGTTGGAACCTACAAGAGAGAGAAAGAGAAAAGAGGAAGCGTATAATGAGTCGCAAAAGATGACCGTCTTGACATGTGACAAAATGCACAATTTTGTCACATATTGTCACCCGCACCATTATGGCCATCCTGCCTGTAGCCTTTCAAATTCTTGTGAATGCGTCTAACGCGTCCCTAATTCCATATGTTTAGAATCTTCCCTCCACCGGGTAATAGACAGTATTCGTTTTTTCAAACGGTGCAATATTTCCTAGCACATTCTTAAAAAGAGAAGGAAGAGTTTAATTATACAGCACACCATATAACGCAGACTTCAATAACAACTTTAAAAGGAATTATTGACTCAATTAGAGCAGACATTTTATCTTCAAAGGTCCATTTCCAACGTGTGCTCAAAAATTCCCTTCATAGCCCTATAAAATATTCTTTTGATCCCAAGTGACCGGCTAGTTCTCACTCTTAACCTTAAACATTGGCCCGTGTTGCAGACCTTGATTTGTACACTGCTCAGTTCTGCGTTTCAAAGGCCTTTTGGTATGAAGAGTAACGCAGTTGGTCTGCTTTGGGTCTTTAGCTGGGCTACAGCGCTCGGAGCAGCTTCTGGTGCCGTGGGTCAGATTTGATCGCACGTTTATCACTTCTCGGTTTGACATGAGGTCGTCAGACTGGAGAAAAGCTCTTTTGATGAGCGACTGTATTCAGCCTGTAAATCAAAGGCCTTTTGGAAATACCAATATGCTGGCGAGCAAGTGCATACAAAGAATGTACTTTTAAAAATGCCCATGTCTGTGGTTGATCTCTGCGTGATACAACCAAATCGACTTCGAATTATGTTGGCTTATTTGGCAAAGAACAGAATCTTGTGATGATTTTTATGGTGTCATCTACTAGAAATCTACTAACTATGTATTGGTTGGACGATGGATGGGTCATTGAATATCAGAGGAACAATGTGAAACCAATGCATCACCCATTAGTCAAAGTTAATACGGTGTTATGGGTGACACACTACTGAGAGCTGTTTTGTTCAACACATTTCAGCTTCCGGTCTTTAACAGTTGAGTGCTGTTGCTGAGTAACTAGTGAACATTCACTTATCTGCTGTGCCAGAATTCCCTAATCATTGCATTAGGGATGGAGCTAAGCTGGACTAATCCTCATAAAATGTTTAAGTCCACCGATTCCTCCTCAAAAACACCAACAATACCGATGGGACACACTTGTGGCTCGCTTGACACAAGTGGATTAGAGTAAAGTAAAGTGGATCAGTGTAGATGGTCACAGCACAGCGCCGGCAGTCGACTCCCCTCACGCTCTCTTCTTCCACCTCCAGCTTCCATGAGCCTCGTCCCGCACCTGAACGCTGTGCCACAACGCAGCCCAAAGCCGGGTCCCCGGTTACAGTAATCCTTTTGCAGCGACATTTGAACAGCCGCAGTTTCATGAGAAGGTGCCAGGGGAGACGAGACTTTAAAGCCCAAAATTGGGAGCCATGTTGGAATCGCTGGCAAACAATACAAAACAATAGAAAAACACACAATTAACATACAACTTCGGTTTTATTGGCACCCTGGTTTAAATGTTCGTTGGACCATTTTAGTTAACTTTCTGTGTGCAATCCTAGATTTGCCCCTTTTAGTGCATTGAAGAACAAAAATAGTCTGACAAGTGGCTGCCATTGGGGGAGGGGGGGCTGAATAAATGAGCTTGAGTATTGTCCTGTGTTCAGACTTTGGTGTTCCTGGCTCACTAGAGCTGAAAATTGCTTGTGCCCTCTGGGAAGCTAAAGGGTCCAACATCGCCCTTTCCCCGCAACGTCTGAACTATGAGAAAAATTTGGGGGGGGGGTGTTTGGGCCGCTGTGTGGTTGCAATGAGGCCGATGCATTTGGCCGCCTCCCTTGTGCACAGGTTCCGATTCCCAATCTGTAAGCGCTGATCAAAAAACAAGAAAGGTAAAGCCCAGAGCACCTGCCCCCCCTGCCTTTCAATGATTACATGCATTTTCATTTCTGGCCCCTCACCGCGGGAGTGTGCAGGGTTAGGCCTTCCGTTTACTTGCCGTTTGTGGAGGAGCATGACCGGAATGCAAAAACCAATGTTTGCTTCAGAGCTGCTTCTCCACATGGTGTCCAGATCCACTCAGCACTTCTCGCAATCATATTAGCATTCATGAATATATGTTTTACGAAAAAATAAATCGTCACTCCGCTCGCTCATCCAAAGCTCGAAGCTTCCTACGGTTGAGATGAAGCATTTTCCGACAAATGTTGAGAGGCGTGCTGCAACATTTCCAATGCAATCTGACACTGGACAATGTTTGATTGATTGGCTGGTAAAAATAAGGCAGAATTCTTTTCGCACTCTGTTGTGAGGTTTAAGTTCCTGCTCGGGTAAATATTGGCTCGTGTTATCCCCAAATGCGTGTCACTACTCTCCAACAAGCCCGTCATTCAGACCGACAAAGCCACAGCAAATATTTGAAGGCATTTTTAAGCAGGAAATGAAAATGGATTTCGATAAGCATCAAACCCACAAGCCGCCTCAGTGTTCTGATGAGAAAATGATCCAGATCTTGTAGCTGGTGAATTCAAATTAAACATTTGCATTCATTTCCTCAAGCTCTTTCCACAGACTGAGGAGTATCAGCCAGTCAGGGGAGCATCAGGACGCTGGTGGAGGTTCAGTTTCAGTGGGTCAAACAAAAGGGGGCCACGGTGTTCTCCCCCCAAAGCTAAAACCTTCCATCATAGTGGTCCTTGCCCAGAAAAGGTATGCAGTTGCTCAAGCAAATTCTGTGAAAGTGTTATGTTGTATGTGGACCCGGCTGAGCCTCAGGGGGGAAAAACCCCACAGGGTCAGAACAACTTGCGCCTTCAAGCCTAAGCCGAGGTTCCAAAACCCACTGTGGATGTGTCACGTCTTCACCTTTGGTGTAGCTCTGTAGTCACTGTCAGGTTGTCTGTCACTCACCTTGTCTCTGGTGTCGGGCCCCTCCCTCCTGTCCTGCGTGATCGCAAGGCCCGCCTCCATTGGTTCCACCGGTGCCTCGATGCCTGCCGCCCTCGTGTATTCACCTTAAATAAAGATCTTGTTTTTGTATCTGACTTGTTTTGAGTCCTGCCGTTGGTCCTCAGTCCGTGGCAGGATGTCTGAGTCTGTTTTTAACTCCTTCAGCCTCGTGATATTTTCATACCTGTTTAAAGGTTAATCCAATATTACCCTGCACAGAACCAAGGACTTACTTGGAGACACAAACCCGCATCCCAGCTACCTGCATAGTTGGTATCACTCGCCCTCCCACACAAGCTCCTGTACCAGTCCGATGTCCAGTAGGCCTATAGGACAGAGTGGGGCCCACCGAACAACTACCAGGGTCCCACAACCTCCATGAAAAGTAAATGTTTGGTGTAACCGACCCTTGTGGAATAGGTTGATGATAACCTTATTTAATGTTAATGTAATTGTGCAACCTCTTCTTTGCAGATTGACGACGCCTCTCAAACGCAGAGCCTCCGTGGGAGTGCTCGCGTTGAGTGGATAAGAAGTTAATGGGGAGTTAACAAGCAGGAAATGGCATCTAAGCGCGTGTAAAAACAAACTGCAATAATCTGCCAACAGTCAGACTACCCGGAGACTCCCCAGAGAACCTGGAGGTGGCCGTGTTTCATGTCGCCGCCAAGCGAGTGAGAGAGAGCTCCACGTGTACACTGGAGGATTTGCGTGTCTTTGTGTGAACACATTTTGATTATAAATACAACAAGGAGGTGTATGAATGCTGGTCTGGGCGAAGAACAAAACACAAGAGTGGCTGCGCAGCTCCCGCTGGATGAATTGTCGTGCGTCTTCGACAGCAAGATGCTCATAATTCTTCCACTGTGACCTTTAGGTGCCACTTCATGGAAATTAGATCCATACTGATTTACCGCAAATTATCTTCAGCATTACAGGAATGTCATTTTAAGGTGCCCTCTATCCAGCGACACCCCCTCAATCGCCTCTCCAGAGTCCTCAGAGATCAGCCTTTTGATATTGCAGATTCTTACTCTTTTTTTTTTTTCCGTTGCTCTGCCAGGCTCGACGCCATCTGTGAAAAATGACAGTGTCACGTGCACGACCTCTGCCGGGCAGCCCGTCCGGCGCCTCTGATTCACTCCAAAACGGCCGCCCCAAAAAACTGTCCCAGGCAATTTGAAGACGTTGATTTAAGCTTTCAGTTGATTAAAATGGCGAGAGTCAAGTCTACTTTTTTAAAAAAGGTATGCAAAACAACAGAGAAGGTCATTTTTCCAAACGTAGCTGGTAGTTCAGAAGCCGCGCTATGCGGGAAATATAAACCAGCGTAAAAAACAGCGGGGCTGGAGCTCAGCCAGTCCTCAAGCAAACCGGGAAGGTAAGTGAGACGAGTCAATTTTCTCCTGCGATCCAGAGAGACCCTGCAGCAGCACGGGCTTGACAAACGCTCCACCAGCCTGCCTCTCGCTCTCACATGAAACGCTTTATTTTAAGCAAAAAAACAAAAACAAAACCGTGCCCTTGACTGAAAAACCCTGCACCTCGTATCCTCCATTGATTTGGCTTTAATTAGCCGATTTCCATATTTCTAAGTCGTAATTGCTTTTCCAGAGTAGAAGTATGAGCCGCTACTGCACCGCGCACACAATTCCATTCGTCTGGATCTGCGCAGAGACGCCGTCTTATTATAGTATAAAAAATAGAATCAGCTGAGTTTTTCAATATCGGCACAAAGATCTGCTCTTGTCAGCAACCTTGATCTAGAAGACTCAAAATAAAAAATCCACGTTGAAAAGGCATTGCCTGATTTACTCCATCCTCGTTGATATCGCCTCATGGGACACTTGACGGAGGTTTTTCCACTGGTCACCAAAGGCGTTCGTATCAGCCATGAAGCAAAGCCGCCATCAACAGGACGACGTATTAAGCATCAACTGGCGGCGGTCATTTCTCTGGTGAAACGCTGCAGGATATTTCCACCAGCGGACAGCCTCC